TCAAATACGAATCATACATTTCCCTCAACATACGTTTTGATACATTTCCCTCAACAATTTAGAGCCCACATATATGCTAAAAAATGTAGCCTTTTTCTTTTCGAAAGCCACATTGACAGTTATATACACAACTTCTGTAATTGAACCATCTTTTGGGGAAAGAAAAATACAGATCAAAAATAAAATTTGTAAGAACCTACCGAATAGTATCACCACAAAATTTGCAAAGCTTGAAATGATAGTCGTATCTCTACAAAGAAACAAAGAGTACCTGTAAAGAAACCCAATTAGATACAGGAAAGAATGAAGCTCTGAAAATTTGATTACCAAAAAAACCCCAATTAGATATTGAAACCGAGAGTAATCTCACTCACTGTAATTGTAGATAGTAAACTAAAATTATGCAATACAACAAACTGAAGCCAAGCCAAACAAAATTAAAGCACAACCCAAAGGAAACAAAATTAAAGTACATAGAGTGGCAGAGTGCTATGGGAGTAAAGCCAAGGTAGATCGATAGAACACCAAACGAAATAACTACCCCTGAATTTCATGAAGGACAACCTATATTAGAGGCAGGAGGATTATGCAGAAAATGCAGAAAAGGCAAAAATGTTGATGCAGGATTATGCATATAAACATCTGCTATGTCAGTGTGTCTCATGAGTTTATGATTTATCTAATCAGAAGATTCAGAACCAATGTTTATAACCAAAATTACAAATGTCTGAATAATGTTTATAAACCAAAATTAAAACAATGGTTATAGCAATATAGCACCCAATAGAAATGTCTATAGAACCAATGAAATCGAGAAAAAAAAATCTGCACACAGCAGGGTGACTGGGTGAGAGACTAACCTTGCAAATGAGGGAATTTGTGGGTCAAGGCTGGAGACTAGAAACGGCAAGAGGAAGTCGTGGGTCGCGCGCGGGTTACTGATCACAGGTCACGGGGGTGAGAGACTGAGAGAGAGTAAGACGGCGTCGATGTGTGAGGCAGGTCGCAGCACTGCATCAGGTCACAGGGAATGAAGAAGACGAATCGGAAGAGCTGCGGAGCTGGGAAGGAGATGGTCCAGAGTGAGAGTGCTGCAGAGGAGGATAAGGGAAAGGGAAGGCCGGCGGAGTGTTTAGGGTTTCTTTTCAGACTGAACAACTGAAGACTGAAGTGAAGACGATAGTGAGATAGTGAGTGCTAGCCTAAAACGACGCCGTTCAAGATAAAAAAAATTATTAATTTATAATTAAATATAAAACGACGTCGTTTTGCCTTACTTCGGTTCGGTTTGGTCCGGTTCGGTTTTCAAACCTCAGAAACCGAACCGAACTGAACCAGATTCGGTTCGGTCCGGTTTTACCCTTTCGGTTCGGTTTTTTTTTTTGGTTCGGTTTTTTCGGTCTTGGTTCGGTTTTCGATACAGTTTTTTTCGGTTTTCGGTTTTTCGAACCCACCCCTAGCCTTTCCCATGCTGAAAACGTCTATGCTGATGAATTGGATGTGGAATTCGATTCGTTCCCAACAAGTCGGAGCGCGGAGGTGGTAATGAGGTATGACCGGCTAAGAAGCGTGACAGGGAGGATTCAAACTGTTGTTAGTCGCATAGAAAATTATGAAATAATTCATTCAATTATTTATCAAAATTAATGCACGTACATGAGTAACCAATGTTAAATGAACATGACATAATGGATTGGAAAAACCTGAAAATTCGATCGAGACAAGTGTAGTCACTCTATCCTTAAGACAAGTTTACGCCTCACTACGGTGCTCATGGTTGATCGACGCTTGTCTCTCAAGATACAACGACTATGTCCTTGTAATAATAGCACTCCAAATCACAAGCCTCCATGAACCACGATAGTGTTGAATACTCTCTCACATAAACTCAATGTAGACTCTCTAATTTTTAGTGCAATATATGTATGATTAAAAGTTATTACGTGATAATAGGCGCTACTAAATTTATAGAATTTGAGATGCTTCTTTGGAAAGCATGTGACTACTCATGAAGAGTCAAAAGTTGCAATATAAACACATCTTTTCACCAAAAGGCATCACTTCTAATTTCCATTCAAATATAAATTTAATATTATTAAAATTTTCAACAGGTGCCACGTTCGTACCATATCATTAAATCAACAGAGTTTGAAGTGAACTGGAGAGCGAGACATGCATGCACCATTTCCATGACATTTTTTGTCAATTTAATTTAGGGAATTTTAACAAAAAGCTCCCTGTACTATTCATTTTACTCTTTGTTTTGTCCTTATCGTTAAAACTTAAAGTTTTTAAATCTTTTTTATTATTTTTTCTTTTAATTTACGTATGGAAGTTCTTGGACCAATTCTAAAATCTTCTCTTCATATTATAGGCCTTGCTTCCACTTTTATTAATTTGTTTTTATTGAAAGAAACTACAAACCTTTTTTGAAAAGCACTCCAAATTTTTTATGGCAAACGTTGACTCATAAACCATTTTGTTCGTAGAATTTCTGACAAAGTAAGAGATTTGTACGAGAATAGAGAGAGACAAGAAAGAATGAGGCGGATAAAAGAGAGTCAAGTAAAACAGTTGTGAATTTGAAATTCTATTTAATTTTATTCTTTAATTAGTGGGACCCATGGCGGAAGCAAAATTTTATGTTAAAATGAGCTTCACATAAATATTTTAAAAAATTGATAGTATTTACAAGAGAGTATAATACATGCTTTGATTAGTGAGCTAATTAAATTTTTTGAGGCCTAAATGCTTTTTTTCATGTTGAAATTAACCTTCCGATATCAAGCCAATATAGAAAGTATTTAATCAAACATAAAGAGGATTAAGAGAAATTAAACTTCCAATATCATGTCTATGAAATATGCTAGGGAAATCATATTTTGGAGATCACATAATGTGACAGTTGATGATTAGATTTCTTCTTTAATGATTTAAAGAAACAGTCTAACCATTAACTGCAATATCATCACATGGTCTCAAAATATGACTCAAGTAGATAGTCTCTCTAGCATAATCCAAGTTAATATAGAATAAGTTGGGAATTTTCAAACAAAAAATGAGATGAATGGATTAGGAATGGAGAACAAAATATATGATATTTTAAAAAGTTTGTAAAAATTTGAAGAGAACAAAGATATTTACAATAGACTTGGTAATTTCTTACACGATCCGTTAACACGACACGTAAACGACATGAAAATAATGGGTTTCGGGTCAATACGATAATTAATCGGGTCATTATCGGATCACACGATAATAACCCATTAATAATGGGTCCTTAATAGGTTTACACGAGAGTGACACGTGGGTAACCTGTTTCGACATGATAAGAAAAAAGTTATTTTGATAATTTTAATATTTTAAACTACTAAAAAAAACTTACTATAAAATGCAATAGATATAATGAATATGTATATATTGTTTATTAATTATTATTCTATATAAATTTTAAAATTTAAGTTTTATTTATTTATTTTTATAGTATATTATAGGCAAATATTGAGATTAAAAATCATAAAAACACATTAAAAATAAAAATATCAAGTAATTTAAAAATACCAAACACATTAAAAAAATTATAATAATTAATTTACATGTGCAAAAAATATGAAAAAAATATGCAACCGCTCGTAGTCGCATCCTCTACGCTTTGAGAATGGATATATGATCGTTTGAATTTTTAAAATCATACAAACTCTCATGAATAGTATTTTTAAGGGAGTTCAAAATAAACAAAATTCATAATCATTAATGTTTAAGTCTGAAAGATGTGAAAACATAATAAATGTTTATAATTGCATCCTCAACACTTAGACGATGGTTACGTGGTTGTTTAGATTTTTAAAACCCTCCAAATCTCATGAACAATGTTTTTTATTTGAGTGAAAAATTAATAAAATTAATAATAATTATTGTAGAAGTGTGAAAAATGTAATCACTTGTAATGAAAAGTTTTACAACTTTAATGAAGGGGTCAACTCCGAAATTTAGTATGTATATACTAATTTAGTATTATGTTTTACATTTTTTTTAGTCAAATTATGTTTTTCATTTTCATTTTTATTGATTTAAAATATATTTTTCTTAACGGGTAACGGATCGGGTCATATTACCTAATAATATTAACGGGTTGATTTTGGGTCTGGTCATATTACCCGTTTACTTTAACTAGTATTACACGACACGACTTGTTAAGCTATCGGGTATGACACGAAATGTCACATCCTGGCCCGGGCCAGTACAACTCGATTCGAAGTCCTAGTGGACATTCCGGGTTGGGGTGTGTCACAAAAACGATACGAACATGAAAAACACGACGCGAATGCCAAGTCTAATTTACAAACTTTAATATCATTGTGAGCTGGGAATTTGGATGGCAAAATATATGAATTTTCAAGAAAGGGAGAAGGAAAAGGTCAAAGTTTATTTTCTTCAGTTGGCAATATAAAATAATATCATTTTTATAAAATTAAACTAGACTTCAGAATTTAAATTTAAGAGATTGATTTCTCTATAAAATAAGATGCTAATTTAAGTTTGGGGATGAGTGGTGCTGGGAGTTTCAAAGGAAAAGATCTCTTGTTTTATTTATTTATTTATTTTTTAAAATGATATTATCTACACTAAGGGCAGGGGTAGGTTTAGCCTCACAATGAGTTAGTAATAATATAATTCAAATTTGCCTTTAGCGAGAATCAAACCTAAGACCTCTCACTTACAAATAAAGAAGAATACCACTAGACTGTAGTATTAACTTACACAGCTCTAATACCTCTTCCTCAATTTGAAATTTAACGTTAAAAAAAAGAACGAAAAAAAAAGAAAAAGAAAATTAAATTGTTCAACAAATTAGACCTCGAGCAGTGAGTAGTATTCTAGATAGCTAAAAAATCTTTAGTTTAACTTGCATGGCAGTCATAACCACCGGAATTATGCAATGGTTGATCAAGAGAATAATATACAGCACTGCAGCGGCTGCAGCCCATCGTCAATGCTCGTTATCTGAACCTTCTTCGTTTTGGGTCAGAATCCCATCCTGAAGCCCTAGGATCAACAACATCTCCATATGCACCACCACTTCCTTGACCCCATCCGTCATTGCTCTTGCCACCCCAGCCATTGCCACTGCCACTTCCACTTCCACCGGTACCCCAGCCACCTGGGAAAGCTTCCTTTCCCGGTGAGTTTTGAACCTTTGCACCGGGAAAGTTGCCCATATCATTTCGGCCTGTAAAATCAGACATAAAAAACCAAGTCATTGGATTAAGTCTTAAAAACAGCCTGGAAGAAGTTGCAAACCAAATAAGGTATTTCTCAATGTGTACTTAATTGAACTGCAAGCAAAACAAACAGATTCAAATCCATGTTGTATAAGCTTCACCTGTTCTTGAACTCGATGTAGATGATCGATCCCTGCCAGAAGACTGGCTTCTCCGCCCACCATCATTGGTTGAACCACCCCAACCACTGCCCACGGATGCCCCTGAAGAACCCCGAGTTGCAGGGCGTCGCATTGGCACAATAGCAGCAACTGACCTAATTGGTGGCCCTAACTCTTGCGGAGGGTCATTGACATGGCGTTGAAAATACTCTACAAGCTGATCAATTTTCTTAAACATCCGTTTTCTGAACTTGAATCCCTTTGGATACATGCCAACTAACTCGTGGTGTGGATTTGAACTCCGAATATAGGTCAGAATTATCGTGCCTGGATATTCATGTGATACACCAAAACTATAAACTATCCGCGCAGGATTCTCCAATTTCTCAATCTTCAAAAGAGCATCAACCTCTGCCTTTGTTCCCCTTCTGAACTTTCGATAATTTAGCATTGCCTTCAACTGAGCCACTAATGGATCAACATAACGATCCACCACCTGGATTTTAAGTTATAAACTGAAAAAGTAAGTACTAGGACTAATACAGTACAACTCTCTGACAACACATTGTGTTTAAAATACTAACCTCGTCCAAATCCTCAAAAGTGTCCTCCCCAATGGTCAGGGTCTTTCCAATACGGAGTATGCTCGTAATGTCCTTCTTTTCCTTTCCACCTTCAACTATGTCTTTATGAGCATAAACTCCATCATAAATCTTGAGAGTTAAGGATAAATGAGAAGGCCCACCGGAACTAGGACGAAAAATGCTTTCCCCAGGATCCTTATCAGACAATAACTGTTAGACATAACAGATGACAGCGTAAGAAATAGTTCGGGGATAATATAAATGTGTGTCTACATAACTCAAGTATTCAATGACAAAAATAAAGATGAAGGTACCAGAAAAATCTTAATATCAATTCAACCTTAACCTGCATAACACAAGCGGTTACTAATCAGAACTAAACTATCCTACATAATTCAAACTAACAGCTAAGTTAAAACATACCCTCATCGATTCATCTGCAGATATATTCTGGAAGCGAGGATGAATGATCATCCTTGGCTTGAAATTCTTCTTTTCAAGCTGCATACTCTTCTGAGCTTTTTCTTGCTCACTTTGTAAACTTTTCCAGTCTTCTTGGTAATAGGTATCAAGATTCTGAATGTGAGATCGGTCATTTCTAATCTCGCTCTCTCTATAAGCCAGGAACACCCGGTAACTTTTCTTTTGAATTGATTTGATCTTGCAAGTGAGAATATCACCCTCATTCAATCTGTCAGACAAGTCAGAAATACCCCTCCAATCATCTGGATTATAGTCTGCTTTCATAAGAATACCAGTCAATCCACATTCAAGAGCAAGTTGTGCACGATCAACTTGCACCCTGCGAACTGTGGCCTGCACAAATTTTCCTTCGGCGAGGGTATCCTCCGTTTCTCCTGTAATCATGTAGAATTCTTCATCCTGGGTTGGTTCTTCATATTTTTTACGCCAGTCCTGAAAACCCTGTATTAATTCTCTCCTTATATCGTACAATGTAATTATCTTTTTCTCACACCGTTTGCTTTTAGCATATTCTTCAACATCGATGTTTTTTAGATATTTAGGATGCTCCCTGACGAACCCCACCACATCATCATCATCATTGCGACCTTCCACATCATAAACATCTTTCGCCAATTGTTCTGCAAGTTGATAAGATTCTGGATTGATTCTGGTATCATCCAGCAGATCAATATCGGCGTAGCTGCTACCAGCCGACCCACTCAGCCGAACACGCAGGAAACCACAAGCATTAATAAAAACCCTATTATCAAGCCCGTATTTTCGCTTGAACTTGTCCTTTAGTGTTGGTGGATTTGACGTGTCCTTTGACATGTCCTTTCGTGTATACACTGCTTCACCAAAGCCTACCAACATCTTCTGCAACGAGGCTGCCTTTCGAGGTCCAAGTCCAGAAATGAATTGAAGAGGTGCAAATAACCATTCATGGCTTATAGCCAAATTTAGGTCAATGCCTACCTGGTTTGTAACATCTACCATGACCTGTTCAACCACCTCATACTTCTCATCCGGGGTGAGAAAGTGCTCAAAAGCGCTGATATTCCAAGATAAGATCTCTCGTCCTGGTCCACAAAGCGTGGCAACCATGGCCAATGGATTTTGAAGATAACGCCCAAGAGCCACAGCCTTCTTGACAATGCCTGATAACATAGAAGAAATCAAAATCAGCCGCAAGACATCTTCATAAACACAAAACTCAGGTCGGAAACATATATTTATACCTGACTGCAACTGCATAGGTAGCTGATCAGATGAAATCCGAGAATTTTCATATAGGCGAGCCAAAGATTCATCCCCATGTACAATGCTTAGGCCATCCATATCAGCCCCAACATCTCTTGGATGCTCCTCTACCATCTTATAAATTATCTGATAAATGAAAGGGAGAAAAATAAGCATCACGTAAACCAGATACGGATTTGATATATGTTGAAGATCAACACCAGCCCAATTAGTGTTTGTGTTGAAGTGTAATCTTGCCTTGGCCCAAGATGGATTCAGCCCATGGACAAAGAAAGATCCATACAGATGCTAGAGAATTCTAGCAAAGTTCAAGTTGGTGGAAGAGTCTAGAAGAATGGTGAGGTTTCCACCAAAATGCAAGATTAGTGTAGATAATTCTAGCTTAGGAAGTTAGTGGAATTATCTAGATATCTCTAGCATGATGTTTCCATGCTTCTCCAAGGTTCCATCCATGCCTATAACAGGAGAAGGTATCCACATCATTTGTATCAATTAAGAAGACTAAGTGAGAGTGAGAAGTAGGAGTAGTCTTGTGAGGAGTGTGAGTGGTCTACAGTTTGTCTCTAGAAAAAGTGAGTGTCATAGCTTCAAAGAGTGTCCTTAAGAGTTTGTGTGTTGTAATATTTTGTGTGTGTAATACAAGTAATTTGTTTACTTTTGTTGTCTCTCCAACACTTGTGTTAGAGTCGAAGTTTAAAGCGAAAGAGCCGTTAAAGTTGGTTCATTTCGATGTGTTCGGACCTATCAAGCAACCATTGATAAGTGGGATGCGGTACATGGTGACGTTCAGCGATGACTTCTCAAGGTATGCATGGATTTTCTTTATGAAAGAAAAATCTGAAACAGTTTCAAAATTTAAAGAGTTTAAGGAGATAGTCGAAGGAGAAGTGGGAAAGAAGATCCGTTGCATATGAACGGAAAATGAAGGAGAATATACCTCGAATGAGTTTTCCCAGTATCTACGAGATTGTAGAATACGTCACCAGTTTACATGTGCCAACATGCCACAACAAAATGGCGTAGCTGAAAGAAAGAACTGACATCTTGTAGACATATTTCTGAGCATACTCCATGCTAAGAATGTACCATGAAGGTTTTGGGCCGAAGCTATGAGAACTGCAACTCATGTGATCAACAAGCTTCCTCAACCAAGGTTAGAATTTGTCTCACCCTTTGAAAAACTATGGGATATGAAACCTACCGTTAGTTACTTTCGAGTATTTGGCTGTGTATGTTACGTATTTGTTCCAAGTCACCTACATGGCAAGCTTGACAAGAAGGCAATCTGATGTATCTTTGTGGGATACGACAGCCAAAGAAAAGGGTGGAAATGTTGTAATCTTACAACTAGAAGGTGTTACACATCACGAGATGCGGTGTTTGATGAAGCATCTTCTTAGTGGTCGTTAGAAAAAGAGGCATTGCCTGATTCGAGAGAGATTGAAGATAAGCTACAACAAAAGATGGGGGAGCAAACTATTCAAATCTAGTCGAGACTAGATGAGTTTGAGGATTCACTTGATGGTGATGGTGTTGAGTAAGCAGTGCCCCAAAACCCTTAGTAAGCTGGCGTATATCAACAACCAGAAGAAGATAGACCTAGTGAAGTGGAAGTATCAACTCCACAATCACAACTAAGGAGGTCAACAAGAATCAGGAAGCAAAATCCTAAATACACCAACATAGCCATAGAAGAAGAAGCAGCTGAACTTGAATGGCTCAAACTTGGGAGAAGAGAGCATTGCAGCGGAGCTAAATCAAGCTTGAAATCTAGTGCCAAAGCAAAGAGATGTGAAACCCATATCATGAAAATGGGTGTGCAAGAAAAAGCTTCGTCGTCAACTCGTCATGGAGGAAAGAATGAGCTGGTGTTGAGGTGGAGTGTTGAAGATCAACACCAGCCCAATTGGTGTTTATGTTGAAGTGTAATCTTGCCTTGGCCCAAGATGGATCCAACCCATGGACAAAGAAAGATCCAAACACATGTTAGAGAATTCTAGCAAAGTTCAAGTTGGTGGAAGAGTCTAGAAGAATGGTGAGCTTTCCACAAACATGCAAGATTGGTGTAGATAATTCTAGCTTAGGAAGTTAGTGGAATTATCTAGATATCTCTAGCATGATGTTTCCATGCTTCTTCAAGGTTCCATCCATGCCTATAAAAGGAGAAGGCATCCACATCATTTGTATCAATTAAGAAGAGTCTTGTGAGGAGTATGAGTGGTCTAGAGTTTGTCTCTAGAAAAAGTGAGTGTCATAACTTCAAAGAGTGTCCTTGAGAGTTTGTGTGTTGTAATATTTTGTGTGTGTAATACAAGTAATTTGTTTACTTGTGTTGTCTCTCCAACACTTATGTTAGAGTTGTGTACTCTAAGTTTTTCCCCAACAATATATATATACTTGATACAGATTAAGAAAATATATGATAAAAATGAAAAACATAAATAAGAAAGTGCATTTCTTCATTTCGTATCTGATTATTTGTACTAAGATTAATCTTCCAACTGAATAATCTTCTTCTATAGAAGATAAAACTTCCATCAGAAGAAAGATAAACCACAAAAAAGGATGGTAAAGAATCCTTTGAATTTTAACTGCTAAGATGAACAAGGCATACAGAGAAAAGGCTGGTGATAATTTTTGTAAAATTGCTCCATCATTTCCTCCTCCCCTCCACAAAAAAAGGTAATTAAATAAATACACCATCACAAGAGAAGCTATATAAGAAGAGAAAGAAATATTACACTACTCCTAGAGAAAAAGAATCGTAATACACACAACCCAGTGAACAAAATGATTACCATAATAAAACTCACCTCATAAATATCGTCCTTCAGGCGAGTACAAGACAAGTTAACACCTCCTAGGACGACGACGTGTGGTTGATGATCAATCATGAACTTCAAAATGCGTTCTTGTTCATCCTTTTTACGCTTCTCGTCATTAGCATTGAGGGAGCGTAAAGTGAGGGACCCGGCATAAAGTACATCTAGCACCTCCCCAGATGAATCTAACATCACAAAAGTGGTTGCTGGGTTACCAGGTCCCCAAAAGCAAGCCATGACCTTCGGTGCAGCTTCATTGTTTGAGCTACTATCATTTTCCTTCCGTTGATAAGGTCCCACAGAAACTTGATTCCACAAAGCATTTCCGTATTCCACACGTAACCAGTGTTTTGCTCTACTAGTCAATAGGGATCTTGCTTCTTTCTCCATTGAAGGTAGAAGGAAATTAAAAAGTGCATCCTGCAATATCAGCTTCCGCTGCTCATTCCACAGTTGTGCAGATTTACTAACACCATCACTAAGATAGTACTCATTAAAGTCGCTGATCAACTTATTTAGTCTGTCTTCCGGCAGCTGAATAGTAACTTGAAGAAGCTTCTCCTCTTCAGCCTTCTGGATAAGCAGCCATTGCGCGTCCTCGAATCTATTTAATGGCTTTGTTTTCAGCCACTTCACCCCTGCAAACTGATGAGAAGCATCTATTGCAACATTTCCTTCAAGTGTTGGGTTTGTTGATATCTCAGTTATATCCAAGTAATTGCTTCGAACATACTTCCTGACACATGGCTCCCAACTTATCTCAACAGCTGCCTGAAAGAAGCCATAAAGAAACATCAAAATACTTTCAACCTAAAATTTCTATGAAAGTTTCAATGAACAATGCATACCATATGCCTAGCTCCTTTGAGCACGGCTTGAGGTGTATCAAACATTGCACATGTAAAGGTGGAAGCCATCTCCTCTGGTGTCTCCTTAGCATCCTCCAACTCATCCATTCTCATATTTTCTAGTGATAATTGCAGTCCAAATTGCTCAGAGCTGTAGCCGAACTTTCTTGCAGCATGCCACAGGCCAGCCTTGATGCAGATACTATGAAGTGATTTCCTCTTCGGCCTCTTATATTGTCCTACATCCACACCACCCTCGCCCGGAGGAAAATGCAAGTTAAACTTGGCATCAGCATCATCAACTTCTCTCTCTGATTTTGCAGCCTCAAGTGACTTCATAATTGATTCAAAAAGCTGCTGATTCAATGTGAGTCTGGTCTCCTCAGATATACATTGAGATTCTACCTCAAACCGCTTCTTGTAGTATGATTTCAATGCACTTTTTCGCTTCTGAAGCAGCAGCCATTTTCTGTCCAAGTCCTGAATCGTCCAAAGTAATCTGTGCCACTTTAACTCAGGTTTGTTTTTATTTTTGTCCTGGTTTTCGTCTTCCAATTCAAGGTGTTTGGGATCTTTCAATAAGCTTAGACACTCCTCTTTCCGATACATAGCAATAAAGGGAATCTGAAAACAAGGAGAGAATGATCATCCCATACAATAAATATCAGATAAATGAACAGAAGTGCGTCAAAATGAATGAGAATACTAACATCGAACATTTGCACATGGTGCAACTCCAAAAAATTCTGATGTCGTCCCTGCTTATAGATTTCCCCAAGTCTGTCGTGCCATAGAAGGGTATTATACCACTCGTAAGTTGATCATATATCCAGGTACTCTCATCATCTATAGTTTTTGCATTCAGTGGAGGAGAACCAGTGCATTTCTCAGATATCTGTACAAAGTAAATACGGTCATGGTTTGGGACATGAAATTTGAGATTTGTAGCATATATTTTCACGAAGGGCAAACTAAAGAACCTGAATTCTTTCCGGAACATCAAGCGCCTGTATCTGTTCATCCTTGTCTGTCATATACTTTTCAGAAAGAACACTAGGTTCAAACTGATCTTTAATCCTCATATTCCTCCATTCGCCGGAATCCAAACCTTGCTTACGAAGTTCTATCAGTTGTTGAGGATCACCAAATATATCATGTGCTTCCTGCAAAGAAGATGATAGGACTTCTGGTGCCTTTGTAGATTTTCTTCTCTTAAACTGCCCCTGTCTCACTGGAGATCCAGTCACATCAAATTCTTCATCATCGACAATAAAGTCTGCCATATCATCTTCACCAACATCTCCATCGGCTTCTGCTTCTGGTTCCTCCTCTTCTGCAATGTCCTCAAGCGGATAACCTGTAGGATTATAGTGTAAAATCAACAAGAAGAAATATCAGATTCATATATTGATTATTCTACAAGTCAAGTTCTACATATGTAGAGATAGGCATACCTTCTTCACCATCAAATAAAGCTTGCTCAATCGTCTTCCCATCAGATACCCCCTCAGAGTTCCTCTGAGCTTTTTTCAGTCGCTTAAATTTCCCCTGAGACTGTTTGGACAGAAAAAGAAAATCCATATCACGAACAACTTTAGAAGAACTAAATGAATTAGTTTCAAATGCAACCGAAACTATAAAGAGATGTAGACTATGTCCAGAACCAGAACCAGAACCTTTCTGCGGAAGGTATACACATTGTTGTCCTCCAGGAGATCATAGTCATCGTCGTCAAGGACATACTCCTCCCTAGAAAATTTGACACGGAAAGAATTATACAAAAGAATTATAACTAGCCTTCTGTTCAATTGCTACAAGATTTTTGAAAGAGAAAAAGAAATGGGAAAACTCGAGAGAGAGAGATAATTGCTCCGATTCAGGGTATTGAACATTCACCTTTTCTTTTTTTTCTTCTTCTTCTGTTTTTCTTCTTCATCACTGTCCGCCCTCCCTTCTTCCTCCTCCTCTTCTTCCTCGACATCATCCACTAGAAAATCATCCTTCTCATATTCATCCAGACCTTCTGCAAAGAGTGCACTAGAGTCAAATTTCATTAATAATAGCGAATAAAATAAACGAGGAAAACTAAACAAAGGTTGAAGCACATTGCACACAAGAAAGAAGAATTCACAGACAAAGAAAATTCCAAAATGTCCAAAATTGCGAATTCAAGAAGAAACAATTGAAGCCCGTACCGCCCTCCTCCTCTTCATCTTCCACGTCGTCACCGTCACCACCACCGTCAGAGTCATCCACTGCAACGTTGTCAACAAGCGACCTGTCGTCGTCCTCTCCATGAATCATCTCCTCTGAAAGCATTGAGCAAACGTGATTAGGGTTAGGGTTTTCAGCGTATTTTATACGAAACGAGAGAAATAAAGATGCATTACACTAACCTTCCTCGTCGGAGACAACACCTTTGCCCATCGGATTTGTTGAAACAAGAAACACTCTCTTTCTCTCTCCTTCTTCTACTTCTTCTTCTTTGCAAAACCCTAAATTACAAACAGGCAATTGTAATATGCATCTCTATTTATAAACATTCGCGGCGCTCCCGCTCTCTCTCTCTCTCCAAATTAACGCGTGAGGATCAAGTCAGCGAAAAGCGTACGAGTGCTCCTGCTTTGATCTTCTTCTTTACGCCCGATCAGCAGCCTGCAGTTACGCAGCCCTCCATCTCCATGCAGAAGAGCACGTCCACTTGTTTCTCCTATTGTCGTCCTAAAGTAGTGCTCCAAGCACAAAGTTTTATATCTCCCCGATTGAATAAAGTAGGCTTAATTTTGGGACTGCATATAGTCTACAGAAAGGAGTTACATTCGGAGTAAAATTACTCCCTATATTGTCACCGTAATTTAGATCTGGTACTTAAATTAAAAGTTCGTTAATTGAGGTCCTTAAATAATTAGTAAAACGTGCAACATTGGTCACTCTGTGAAATTTTCTTTCAATTTAGGACATGTTTACTAATAAAAATTAAAATCATTTTACTACTTCATTTTTCTTGTTTTTCCCTACATGTAAGAAATAAAAAGGCACATAATTTTCTTTGAAATTCGTAATCAAGTACTTAAAAATTGGGAATCAAATCGACCAGGGTGGACTAGTTGATATTATTCACTTTCCTGACTTCTATTCAGCTTTATTTTTCAGATTTCTTCATTTTTTTTTTCATTGTATTTAGTAAACTTGCCCTTAATTATGTGGAACCAAGAAATAGGACCAACAATCAATCCACAAACTTTCATTCTAGTTTAGATTTGGTATCGGAATACACATAGTTGTAATTGGATCACACGCATACCACATCATCACAATACAGTAAAACTCCTAGCAAGTCATAAAGTTGGGACCAAAACAATTTCATAACTCTCAACATCATTATTTCCTAAATAGGATTCCTGAGGATTACAGTATAGAAATACCAAGGTCTCATGCCAAGAAGCTGTAAACATGCTTGAGAAGTTAGAAACATTTTGGCTTCAACAAGAAAGTATCCTTGTCGATGAAGTATTATATAGTTGCAAGCTCAAAGACATGACATCAATTCTAAGACTAAAGCATGAGCCTCACACTGGGTTAGCCATAATAATGTGATTCAAATTCGCTTTTGGAGAGAATTGAATCTAAGACTTCTCGCTTACAAGTGGAGAGGATATCACTAGATCGTAGTACGAAGTGACAATTATTACTTTTTGAGAAATATTTTAGTTCATTTTACACTTTTATTTGTAATATTGCACACTTTTTGTACTCATTGACAATTATTACCATGTAGTAGTGTTTTCTTATGAAGGGATCAAGAAAAATTATCTTTTTTTTTTTTTTTTTTTTTTTGTCAAACGATAGATTTTATTAGATTAAAAGTTAGATTAGCCATCGATGAGATTTGAACCAATGTCGTCATGCACTCAACACCTTTTCACCATTATGGTATGTGGAGTTTATTCCTATACATAGGGCTAGTTTGGTATTGTTGTGCTTTAAAAAAAAATGTTTTTGCTGTGCTGTGAGAATAAATAGCTATAAAATAAAGTTGTTAAGTATTTGGTAAACTTCTTTTTTTTTGTTGTAAAAGTGCTTTTAACATTAAAAAAAATAGTGTCTGAGTGTTTTGTAAACTTTTATTTAAATTGTTTTGAATATGTTAAATAACTAAAAATGATATAGTATTTAATGTGATATAATAAGTGTCAAAAACAATAATGTAGGGGCAAATATTGTAAAGCATGTGAGGTGTACTTGCCATTTGAAAAATTCATTAAATGAAAATTAATTAATTACTATGCTTTGAAAAAAGAAAAAAAACATTTTTTTTTAAAAGCATGTAGACCATGCTTCTGCTTTTTTTTATTTTTTATTCTTTTCTACTTTCATTGATAGCATTTTTTTTTTGTTTTACCAAACACATTTAATGTTCTAAGTTTTTTTTATTTTTTTTATTTTTTTTTTTAAACACCACAATCTCAAACCAACCCATAATTGGTCTCGAGTTGGAACCATAATTTTTTATTACTTTAAAAAGGTTATTTCTTTATAAAGTATTTCTTTGTAAAGTATTACCTTACAAAGGTTTTTTTGTTTTACCAAACACATTTAATGTTCTAAACTTCTTTTTTTTAATTTTTTTTTAATTTTTTTTTTAACACCACAATCTCAAACCAACCCATAATTGGTCTCAAGTTGGAACCATAATTTTTTATTACTTTAAAAAGGTTATTTCTTTATAAAGTATTTCTTTGTAAAGTATTACCTTAAGGGTTTTATTGTATTATTTTTCTCGGAAGTTAACAGCAAGAACTAATGATGGATAATGGGTAAAATGTTCTATTAATTTTTTTGTCTCGTTTATGCAGTTTTGTATGAGTTGAAAGTATTTTTTGATCTTTGACCAAAAAAAAGTATTTTTCGGTCACATGAGTACATTTCTATTATAAAATTAATTAATAATGTATTTTCCAACAAAAAAAATGATGAGAAAAGGTTGTTCGGTAAATTAGTACATTTTCTAATAATTGTCAATGAATTTCCATAATTACATTGAATTGAGACAATTTTATTTTCAAAAAATAAAAAATAAATAAAAAAATAAAAAAGATATATATTTATATATAAAGCCAACACTGACGTGAACAATGGTTTTTTGGGTCACAAGCTTCCCAAAAATAAGTGGACAAAAATACCCTCCAAACAAAAAAGCTCAAAAGCAATCCAAATTAATGCACCAAATAATGCAGGAGTATTTTCATAATATAAACAATGTTTTTTTTAATAATTAATTCTTTTTGTACAATTATATATATATATTTATTTATTTATAATTAGTATCTCGCAATGAACTAGTAATAATGTGATTTAATCAGTTGTTTATTAAATATTATTTTATCTAATTTTAAACATGTTCAAAACATCTTAAGATGCGCGTAGTGCCGATTATAAAAAAAATCTTTTGCACGGGCATTATAATATGATTCAATTAGTTGTCAAATGATTTTTTTTTTTTTTTAACAAGCGATATTATATACACTAAAAAGGAGGGGTGAGTTTAGCCTTATAATGGGCTAACAAAAATATGATTCAATTAGTTGTCAAATGATTTTTTTTTTTTTTAAACAAGCGATATTATATACACTAAAAAGGAGGGGTGAGTTTAGCCTTATAATGGGCTAACAAAAATATGATTCAATCAGTTGTTTATTAAATATTATTTTCTCTAATTTTAAACACATTCAAAATATCTTAAGAGGCACTACGTGCTGGTTATAAAAAAAAGGTCTTTCACACATGCATAATAGTGTGATTCGATTTGTTGTCAAATGCTTGTTTTTTTTTTCTCGAACAAACGATATTATCTACACTAAGGGGGAGGGGGTGGACATAGCCTTACATTGAGTTAGTAATAATGTAATTCAATCAGTTGTTTATTGAATATTATTTTCTCCATTTTTAATGACGTTCAAAACATTTTAAGAGTCGCGTACTGCCGGTGATAAAAAAGGTCTTTCACACGCTCACAATAATGTGATTCAATCAGTTGTATTATTTTCTCTATTTTTGAACACTTAAGAGGTACATAGTGCCCATTATATATAAAAAAAAAAAAGGTCTTTCGCATGCGCATAATAATAAGATTCAAGTAGTTGTCAAATGGTCTTTTTTTTTTGAGCAAATGATGTTTTCTACACTAAGGGGGGTGAGCTTAATCTCACAATGGGCTAGCAATAATGTAATTCAATCAGTTGTTTATTAAATATTATTTTCTCTTTTTTTTTGTCGAATTATTTTCTCTATTCTTAATGTAAATTCAATAGAATGTAGATGGAAATTTAAAAACCGATTTTATTATGTGGATTCAGCTGCTTTGATTGGTTTATGAGGAGTTTCTTCTAGCATGGTCAAATATTATTCATTTACTTCAAATATTTGACCTTCTTTTTGTCATAAAAAAAATTATTGAAGCAATTCACACATATAAATACATTTAAAACGTGAAAGTCGAGTGTAGCACACCGTGGTTCAAAAAATGTCTTCTACATGCACGTGAGCACGTGCATGAAGGCTAGCAATTAACTATGCCAATTGAGTGAGAAAAATAATTACCTTGAAAAAAATACAAATTTTAATTTAAAAGATGAAAAAGATAATATGAAAATCTATTAATCTATTGAGGTGTACAAAATCAAAGGACATTGATAAAAAATTAAAACTAATAAAATTTCAGTTTAAAAGTGAACAATACTGGAAGTGTTTCATTAAACTCTCTATTAATAGCTAGTCACCGCATCTAAATCTCCCTAATTTTGAACCTAGGGTTTAGCAACAAAAACTAGAAGTATTTCAGCTTCCAGCAGACCATAACTCTGTATAATACTGATACAACATCTTAGCTAGTATGAAGGAGCATTGTGTTCGCACTACTAGAATTATGCTCATTGCACACCATTTTTTGCACACCCTTTGCAATTGGTGGCCATAGATATAAAGCTACTACTCTTATTATTTTTTGGTGGCTTTACAGTGGGATGCCACTGCTATTTTGGTTACTTTACAGTGGGATGCCACTGATATCAATGGCCTTAAGAAATCAGCCACCAATGATTGGTGTCTGTTAACTAACTTTATTTCTTAAAAAATACACCAAAGTCTTTTTACATGTTTTTTCAACTTTGGGACATGTTATTTAATTTCTTTTTCAGTCTTCTCCTTTTTATCTGTCAAAAATAATTGTTTATTCATTTAATAATCCTATTCTACAGTAGCTTCACCCCCAAATAAATACGAAGTTAGACAACCCTAATTTTCATTTACATGTGTTCCTAGATTGATCTGTTTTAAGTTTAACTTCATTTCCTTGCAGGATGAGGTTGATGCTAAGATTGTTGTGGCTGGTATTTCAACAACCTGCAGTCAGAAAATTCACAACCGAT